GGAAATGGGAACCTAGCAACGCGGTAGAGATAAAAATAGATAGGTATTTTACGAAGTTCTAGATAAGCCATTATCGTTAGAAATTCACATAAACTGTGTCATACTCTGTGGTTTGTTATCTATGTGCTTTGGTTTAAGGTGGTTTAGTAAAACACACAGGACGTGATTGTAGGTCGCGATATAATGTTGTCAGAACGGCAAGTGCATTAAGTGTTCGCGATATGTGTTATCTGACACTTGTAAGTTTTTAAGTTCGCTTTATAAGAAGTAACGTCTTCCAAATGTTTTCTATTTAGAGTTTAAATGTTTGTAGGAAAGTGATGCCGAACCACTTAAAAATTTAAGTTGTTTAAAATGATTCGGACTCCTGTAACACAGGTTCGCCACCTACTATAGGAGACAGAGCCCTACAAATTTGTCAACTTTTTAGAACAATATTTTTTTTATTACTCTATTTCTTGTTACCTCTTAACACAATAGGATAATCCGTGCAAGAATATTCTCGAGATCCATTTGTGTGTTCCCACATATGGGTACACGATCGTGTGTGTACATGTATAGAACATTCGCTAGGTCAATTCGTTCTAATTCGCAGACAATTCTGTACCAGTGAAGAAATGGATGTGGGCAGTCATGTAGGTGGCGGCCTTGCGAACGTCGGTTAAACTTTAACAATTAGACTAATACCATCCTTCGTAAAATCGACTCTAAAACGTTTATAAATTCAGTGCAAATTTGCATCCGGTAAGCCGTCGACGAATTTGGCGATGGGACAGAATTAATTACGCCTGTCTGTCACGTAGCTTACCAAATAAAGTACAAAGTATAACGTCGCTGACCATATATGGTCAACGGTCAGGAAGGAATAGGTGTGATCGAACTCGAATATGAGCTGTACAAGATAGCAACTAATGGTATATTATTTATTCCGTTCCGTCGTATTGTAATGCAATTTCGGTGCGCGCTTCCGATGTCCGGTCGCTGGCGAGTGCGTTGACCTAAATCTTAGCTTGACTTTTAAATACGTTTAAGTAACCTTGAGTTATTTCACGGTTAAAGCTACTTGAAGTGGAGAGAGCTTAAGGTAGTCTATTTGAAATTATCCGTCATGGTGTAAGCATGAGGAATTTAAGTACAGTTAAGTTGAAATTATAAAAAATGTATTAATTGTAATCTAAACACCAATTTTTGTGTATCTCCTAGGTATACAATGTTTTCAGACTTGATAATGTAAAAGTCCCGTATAAGACTAGTTCCTTATCGATTCAGTCGCGATGGTTTTGAGATAAAATCGTTTCACGAAATCGATTTCTCGCTCATGAACTATTCATGCGCATTCGATTATGCGTAATTGCGGTGGAAAATCTATGCGGAAAATTCTTAGAAACGAACGCGGGTCGACGCGCATTTATTCAGCGCATGCATTCTGCTGGGCGTTATGAGTTATGTCCTAGCTTTTACACGAGGGTAGTACGCTGCCGTAAAGCAATAGCAAAGTTCAGTACTGCTATTGTATCATACGAGTTGTGCGTTAAAACTAAAGCAGTACTGTATTAACCTACTACTGTCTACGTGTGAAACTAGCATAATTGTACAGCTGATATAATGGACTGCATTGAAATGACGTGTGGGCTTATACCGGTTCAGCGTCTTGTCTTAATGTATTAGCATAATACCAACATAACATATCTAATATGCGAGAGATTCGTATTATGTCAGGTTGATTCCGCAACGCTGCATCGGATTTAATTGTTTTGCTGTTTAACTACTAAATTTTAATTTAATAATAGTCAACTTCCTTACCTAGAATAGAGCTCTAACAAGAATAAAGAAGTTAAATTTGACGATAATTTACTCTTAGTGATAGGATGACGTGAAAGGTTGAAAAAACCTTGCTAAAATATACCAAAAATATTAACATCCCTCTATTCTCATCTTTTCCTCAATGAAAACCCACGATAACTTGCGAGGAAAAATAAGCAATAATGCGAGTTGCAATTTATTAGAATTTATTTGTCCGTTTGTTCAAAATCTGCATACGTTTTGTGAGCGCTCGATTCGTGGAACGTGTCCCGAATAACAATTGTACGGAATCGTGGCATGTAATTGTTTTTGCATAACAATATAATGGTTAACTTGAAAATTTAAAACCTAATTCGTGAATAAACTGAAATACAAAATGTACGTTGAACGAAACACGAACGTAGGTTTCCTAATGAACGTAGGAAGGAGAAAAACAAATGAAAAATCATATTTGGTAGATTTTGTACTTAGTAATTGTATGTTTCATAACAGATAATACAAGTAAACCTACCGGAAGTTATATTCTCAAGTCATTATACCGGAAATCAATAGTCATTTATTATGCTGATACTTTGTCACAGTACACTGACCGATAGCTGTTATTTTAGTTATCTAATTAAAATTTTTAATGCACCTTTTTATAGGTACATAATATTTAATAAATTACTAGTTACTTAGCGCCGTTACAACTAGTCCCATGTCCCATAGATGCGATAAAACCAGGAAATCGCTTTTTGTCCCAGTAACGGGAATAGTTCAACTACCGTTTGTTCCTATGATTTCTATGCTATATCTTTTAAATCATTTATGCTTTCATTTTTTTTATATTCACAATGTTTAATTGTTTTATAACCTTACATTTATTATTTTAAATGTCTAGACTCCACACAACCTAAGTCTAGATCCTGAACACAAAGAACAATACAAAGTCGATATTCTGAATCATACACCACGCCCGTCTGTTTTGAAAATCTTTCTACCTGGGTTATTTACATGACATAAGCTATAATAATAGGTAATAAACGAATATGCGGAAAATAAATGTTTATATTATATTTTCTGTAAGATTTAAACACTATTGAATTAAAAATAAAATAAAAGTAGAAAGTTTTTTCAGGACATAATGTGGAGGGTTACTCATATTAGCCGTAGGCTGTTTCAAAGGTGACATGATTAAGAAGGGAGCGGCTAAAATGACTTTGTATCGATTTGGCAGACGTAAAGTTGGTTTATTGTTATTGCATAATAGATAATTTCAATCTGACAGATTTTGCACACTGCATTGTTGTCTCACTGTGTTTATAAATAGGTCACTCGTTGTGAGACAGGAGTCCGTAATTAATAGAACACGATATGTTACTTGTGATTGCAGTTGCATGTTGAATCGTTTTAATGTACCGTAATTGTAAACGATAATATTCTTGTGATATATGATCTTTATGTTACGTGATAATATATCTAATACAATGCGTAAATTAACAAAAATATTGATTGTCTATACCAATATTATAAAGAGGATTAGTATTTTTGTATGTAATCGATTCACTTAAAAACTACTGCGCCGATTTCAAAAATTCTTTCACCACTAGAAAGGCAATTTATCTGTTAGTAACATAAGCTACATTTTTTAATTTTACGCGGCCGAAGTCGCGAGCAACAGCAAGTTAAGTATGAAATAAAGCTATTTTAGTAATTTATCGAAATAAGTGTCATGTTAACTAAGTGCGCAGTTGTGCTAAACAATTCCCTTAATATCGATCGTGTACTTTGCTCGTCTGCTTAATATCGTCAGTTAATGCGTGACGTCATGACTCCATCGGCAAATTTGCCCACGAGTTGTACCTTTTTTTATTGATATAGGGATGATAGTATTGTTATCGATGTGTTGCGATAGAATTAACCGTTATGTCCAGGAATGTGTTTTATGAATTTCTTTTGTTTTTCCTTTTTTTTTGTTTTTTATTTGTAAAGTGCTTTAGCTCCGGTAACTAGTATGAATCAGCAATACTTTGACGTTTGCAATGATTCACCGGTCGAATGCTTGGTGAACTTTAGTGGTGGGCCATTCCTTCAGAGATTGTATTTTTGGCAATGTCTCCCGCGGTTGATGGCGAATCAACGCGTTGTGATTTATATTTTTAAATGAATACTTGGGAATTGGCTTTTTTATTTTATTTGTACATATTCCTCTTACTGCATTATTTCAATAAATATTTTAACAACATTTACCACTATTTAGGTTTAGTTAAAAAGTACTATTATATCATTATTTGTTTTATCGAAAAGTACTTTGATAGCAATTATGAAAATGTTATTAAAGTCAAATTTACGTACATGTTTTAAACGGAATATTACCGAGGTACATTATAGCAAATTTTTAGGCTAATTTGACGCTAATTTCCACACGAATTGAGATTGCATAGCAAATTATTTATTGAGCAGTGTAAAGATTAACTTTTGTCTTTAATTTAAAACTGATCGGAATAGACAAACCTATATGTCTATGTCTAGTATCACAGAATTTCGAAAAACTAAGTGACTATTTGAAAATATGGTGACAGTAAGCATATATCACGTGGCGTGATAAATGTACCAATGAATCAGACGGCACGCGCCATCACATCTGGCTAGTCTACGCTTACGCATTAAAGATATATGTAGACGGATAAATTGATGATAGTATCTTTAATGCTTTCTAACCTCTTAAAGTAGGAAATATAAGAAACAAATCGAGACCCATGATATTTCTTAGTTCATGTTTTTTAGATCCAAAACATTCGGTCTTCGGGACTGTTGTGACTTGAATATTTGAAAGTCGTGGTAGCGTTGACTGTTTTAAGATTGACAACTGTTTTATGTATGCAAAGCTGAAACACAATGTCATTTTAGATAGATGAACATAATAATGTTTGTTATTTATATTTACAATTTCTGTGGTTAACCTCGTCTGGCATGTTTTTGTACAATAACAATAATAGTAATAATGGAAATTAAATTTAGTAAATACATATGCTATTGTTTTTGCTTAATATTCCTGTAAATTTATGTGATATTAATTACATTAATTTATTATTTTCCTCCAATTAGTAATAACATTTATTTTTGACGCACTATTCGTTTGACAAAAACAAACTAAATACGATATTGTACAGTGTTTATTAAAGGTATATTTAATTAAAGTAAGGTTTTCATTGCAGCTATACGTCGAGGCACAGAGAACCAGCCGGCGAAGAAAGCCAGGGCAGAGGGTGCAGCTAATGACGGCACTGGGGGGCGAGAGCATCTCGCCTATACGTGTCTACTCCGAAACGAGCTCCTGGGCGCAGAGATAGATGAGTTAAGAGGGCCAGCATGTGAGAATAGGGCCGCATTAGGCGCTGTGCAGCTTGCTTCCGCTGCGACCGCCGCATTATCGTATTCACCGCGCGTCTTCAAGTTCAGAGCTCCTGTGCATAGTGCAGAGGTAAGCCTTTAACAGATATTTCCAACTATATTACAAACCTATTAACTATGCTCTGAACATAGTCCATTTACCAACCGAAAAACTATAAAGTCGACATAAAAAAACTTTTGTACCCTATTTTATCTATATGGACTGATCGAGTAAAGGTCCATTGTATTTACATAACTAGCTTTCGCCCGCGACTCTGTTTTTGTGGAAGTAAAAAAAAAGTGAGTAGCCTATGTGTTGACGATCCAAAAGGATATGAAGGAAATAAAACTTGACGAACAAGCCTCTAAGATAGAAGAAGAGTAGCCTATATGTTCTTCCAGACTATCCTTGGCTACAAACTCTAACAAACATCCATCCATCTAACTTTCGCATTTATAATATTAATATGAGTATGATTGTATGCTAAATGAAGATAAAGTTGTTGACTGCCTAACTGAACATAATAAATAATAAGTGTTATTAAATTAAAATGATTGTATGTAAGTGTGTGAAAGTGATAAACAAAAGTCTTTTAATTGTAATGTGACTGCTATCTTATTTTTGACGCCAGATAGCGTTTAGAAATTAGTGGTTCGATGACAATACTGACGGTCCCAGTGATTTATGTATTCGGAGAGTCATTAATATATATTGCATGTGGTGCAGTAAAACTGCGATATAATAGTCGTTTTAATTCTCTTATTATGAATATTCTAAATCCTTTAAAATTTAATTAGTGGCTATTTGAGATAAAAATTAGCATTCCTGTCTTAATTCAATTCCGGTCTTTGATTTGCTGCTGAAAATCATTCGAAACATAAAATACGTCAAAGTTTTGGTTTTAATTTATGAAGAATATTAGGGTTTTTATACAACCTTACGTTTGATGTATGTATTTTTTTATGATTATGCCATAAATTTATTATTGACAGCAAATTTGACTATAAACGCGAAAGTTTAGATGAATGGATGTTTGTTAGAGTTTGTAATCTAAAGTGCTGAAGGGATCTCGATGAAATTTGGCATAGATGTAGAGCATAGTCTGGACGAACACATTGGCTACTCAATTTAGTTTTTTTTAATTGCACGCGGGTAGTTACGGGCGAAAGCTAGTACAAGATAATGCCTTGTTTTAACTAGGCCAGTTTACCGAGTAAATAAGTAGTCGTATATTCTCGTCTATATCGACTACTCAACTAACTTTTCGTCGTTAAGACACGTTTAGGTAAACAGCCCTATTTTAATTTCAAAATAGCAAGTCGAGTATAGATTTTATAAGTAGACATCAAATAGTTGTGCTTTAATGTTTAAATTGGCCTTCTGCATATTTTTATATTCTTTGATTGATTCTAGACGGAAATTTAGCTATCGAATTTGGCATCGCAACACACACTAGCAAATAGAATTGCATGTCCAATTAACAGCTTTTATCGAAACTTGAAAAAATCGAACAATATGCGATACCTGTGTGCATATTTGGCTGTGTCTAATTGCACCTCAATTTGGTTGAGAACCAATAAAAATAAAAAAATAATTAGTAATTTGCACGTTTTTCTCGAATTGGCAAAGCGCACAGTTTTTTGTTGAACGTTTAATTTATCGCGCGCATCATGAAGTCGCGACGATAAATTTCGTTTCGAGATTTGAATGCCGAATGTCAGGGACCGGCTTTTGATGCCTGCATTTTATTTATGACCGTATCACTCTCGTGTAAAAGCAATCTTTTTTACAATTTGATGAGTTATTTAAGAGATATTAAGGCACCTCTTTATACATTAGCAGAGGTTTTATACCTCTTTGCATGTTTATTTCCAATCTAATTACCAACCGTTTCTTCCATTTATGATAATTATAACTAACAAGATAAGTTGAGTGGTATTTCGGTAATAACTGCGTTTTTAAATTAATTCGCTGACCCCTAATGATCATACAAATTGAACATGACCTTTTTAACCCCGGCAATATTGGGTTTATTTGTCGGGGTTTTCAAGCGCCAGTATTAAATGTAATTTGAGCTGAATCTCAAATCGATATCTTTGCCATGTATCGATTTTAAATAAATATAATTCTGAAACGAGCGTTTTATACGATTTTATTTAAGGGTCAAACGACTATGCGAATATTTCGAGATCAAGAAAATGTCGGCCATTATATCTTTATAGCTTCGTATTTATTTTCATGCACTTTTGTCAAACTTTTTCTATCTCACAGTTCAACGACATGTCTTTTTTGTGGTCGGCACATTGAAAGTGAATATTTTCGATCCCTTCATTTAAATTATCAGGATGCAAGGATTCCTTCGCCCAGATTCGCTTTTGTTTGTATCTTGTAGTGTTGAGTTTTACTTTGAGGGTGATAATGCAGCGGAATTTAACCTTTTAAATTATGTATTGAATGGGACTCTCGTGTATCCTCGGATACTGTCTGACGTATCTACCTGTCTTCTGCGAATTATTTTAGTTTCGTCAATTTTTTTTTAATTAACATTACCGATTCCAAGAGATTGAATTGCCAATGCAAACATAATTAGCGCGTAATGTAAATGTGATGCGAAGGTGCAAGCGGTTTTCTTTTTAATTTTTTTATTCGTACACGCGTTCCCTTGCGTAAGTGACGGCCGTATTTTGCATGACGTTTGTTTTTTATGGTGCATAAACATTGACATGATTGGCATATTTCTGACACAGGAAGTCATATTTATGCTTGAAATAAGCTGCAATGAATGAGAGAACATCGTGCACCGGTACTGTACTGTTCCCAGTTCGTGGTACAAGTTTAATAACCTCCAAAATCAACTTATTCGTGAGGTAAATGTGAATTTAACTAAAAAAATATTCCAAGACTACGTCACTCTTGCTAGTTCCATATTGTTTCTTATTCTTTTAAGGTCTTTAAAGCCCTACTTCACTTTAATTGAACTAGATTTAACGTGTGTAGTTAAAACTGTGAATTGAATGATTTACTTGACAATTTGTTGCGGGTTTTAGGTTTGTCCTTAAAATTGTTTCTTAAATTGTAATTAAAAACATCGATTTATTCGGAGTACATTGTTTAATCTATGTCTGTATGTCTGTCTGTAGTACGTATTGCAAATAACTCAAAATTTACTGTGCCAATTTCAAAAATTCTTACACCGTCAGAAAGGTAATTTATCTATGAGTAACATAGGCTACGTTTTTTGTATTCAATAATATTTTAAGCGGACAAAGTCGCGAGCAACAGCTAGTAATGTAATAAAAATAATGATGTAGTTCTTTCAGTGTCAAAGCGGCTTACCTTTGTCTTGTAATGTTACCGGTGAATTAAATCCGCGCTTCGATTGTGTAATACAAGAATGATATTGTATCGGATATCGATGCCTTTGGTGACGTAAAAGCCGATGGTAGCCAGATCAGCGATTATGTTTTGTTTAAAACTGCATCGCAATCTTGATTTGAAAAACAACACGTGTTGGTACATATTCAGTGTAAAATGTTTAATATTTCTCACTAAAAACGTGTCGATGTTTTTTCTAATCTAAGCAACTTAGTTTCTCTATCCCTTTGTAAATATTTCGTCATCAATTTCGATTAACACTTTGTAACCAGGGGTCAACAACCTATTTTTTATGGTCCGCGTAGAATATTTTCATTATAGTGCAGAATACAGTCTGATGTCGGTACTTTAGAATTTTTCATTTATTACTTCTCAATTGTAACATCAAAATGTAGTAAACGGGGAACTACACGTTGATACTACCGAATAAATTTACTTGAATAAATGAAGTTTTAAAAATGTATGCATGCGGACCATAGATTGTGCAGCCCTGCTTTGAATCAATAAGCGAGTTAACGCTAATCAAACTGAACGTTCAGTTAAATAGCCCGCCGTTTCTGTGCAAAAATAACCTTTGTGTGTCAATTATCGCGGACGAAGCGTTTAGCGAGCCGGTGACAATGTGGATGCGCTAATAGTACCAACGCGAAACTTTTTATGATAATTTTTATACAGAATGCAAATTTATTTCGTTGTTTTTTTGAATATTTATAGACGTGCATCTTTTTTCGTACGTCCATTACACGTTCGATACAATGCTATTGTTTTTTTTTTAAACATCGGCAAGATATCTGTCCAGTCATTTGTTGGCCTGTCTGACATCACTCAGTGACAACGACCTAAAATAATAATTTATTGAATTTTTACGTTTAAACGTTAAGAATATTGATTGTTTTGCGGCGGTGTTTGTGTAAAGATTTTACGATCGGTGTCCAAATATTGAACGTGTCTCAAATGTGCTGGATTGCGGTTAAATTTCGTAATTACATTTAGTATTGAAGGGTTGTGTTTTATGAGGGTTCTTAATTTAAGTACGTGGTTGTTATTGAAAACATCCGATAAGTCATTTTTGTATCATCATCACCACTCACTGTACGTCCCCACTAGACGTGACTAGACCATAGTCAACCACGCTGGCCAAGTGCGGGTTGGTTGACTTCACACGTACCTTTGAATTTAATCAATTTCACGATATGTTCACGTTGAATCACGATGTTTTCCTTCACCGTAAGCACATTGGGTAAATTATGTACATATGAAAATTCGAAATATCGAAAATCATATTGGTACATGGCGGTATTCGAACCCAAGACCTGTAGATTACAAGTCAAGTGCTTTTTTTTTCTTTTTTTTTGGCGGCTTTATGCCGCCCTGTCGTTCCCCTGACGTATTTTTTAATCAGGGACCTGGGATGTAGGTGTTTCTTTATTTTATAAGTATAGTAAGTTTTAACCTAAATTAACATCTACAATCTTAACTTTCGCAGAAATATCACAACTTTTCTAAAACTAATCTAAAAATATCTTACTATCTTACTTCTTACTGTCTCACTAATCTTACTAATATTTTTAATGCGAAAGTTTAGATGGATGGATGGATCGATGGATGGATGGATGGATGGATGGATGGATGGATGGATGGATGGATGGATGGATGGATAGATGTTTGTTAGCGTTTGTAGCCTAAATGGCTGAACTTATCTCCATGAAACTTGG